TCTGTATTTTTATTCTAATTCCATTCCATTCCATTCCATTCTATTCTATTCTGTATTTCTATTCTATTCCATATTCTAGTCTAGTCTAGTCTGTATTTTTCTTCTAATTCTATTCTGTTCTGTTCCGTTCCGTTCCATTCTATTCTATATTTCTATTCTATTCCATATTCTAGTCTAGTCTAGTCTAGTCTGTATTTTTCTTCTAATTCTATTCTATTCCATTCCATTCCATTCTATTCTATTCTGTATTTCTATTCAATTCTATATTTCTATTCTATTCCATATTCCATATTCTAGTCTAGTCTAGTCTAGTCTGTATTTTTATTCTAATTCTATTCTATTTTATTCCATTCCATTCAATTCCATTCCATTCTATTCTATTCTATTCTGTATTTCTATTCTATTCCATATTCCATATTCTAGTCTAGTCTAGTCTAGTCTGTATTTTTATTCTAATTCTATTCTATTTTATTCCATTCCATTCAATTCCATTCCATTCCATTCTATTCTATTCTATTCTGTATTTCTATTCTATTCCATATTCCATATTCTAGTCTAGTCTAGTCTACTCTAGTCTGTATTTCTATTCTATTCCATTCCATTCCATTCTATTCTATTCTATTCTATTCTATTCTATATTTCTATTCTATTCCATATTCCATATTCCATATTCTAGTCTAGTCTAGTCTAGTCTGTATTTTTATTCTAATTCTAATTCTATTCTATTCTATTCTATTCTATTCTATTCCAGTTTCTATTCTATTCTATTCTATTCTATTCTATTCTATTCTATTCTATTCTATTCTATTCTATTCTATTCTATTCTGCATTTTATTATTCCATTCCATTCCATTCCATTCTCCTATTCCTTTCCACTCCATGTTTCCTATTCCTATTCCACTACACTACATTCCACTATTTCTATTTTTATTTCTATTTCTATTTTCTATTTCTATTTCTATTTCTGGAGGCTGAGGGGGCGGGGAGGATTAAACCTTGAGGCCCGGTGGGGCAGTGGATGATGGGCGGGGCTGGGAGACAGGGCCGAGACCGTCCGGCTGTCCGATGGGGACAGTCCTTGGAGACTGTCCAGCTGCCGGTGCCTCAGGAGCCACAGGTGGTCCTCAATTTACGACCGTCCATGTAGGGATCAGAGTTGAAACGGCATTGAAAATCAGTAACTGGGCAAGGGGTGTGTGTATGTGTGTGTGTGTGTATGTGTGTGTGTGTGGTCACACCGATCCGCTTTTGCCCTCCTCCCGATGCGCAAAGTCCAGGAAGAAACGGGATTCCCCGATCGGCCGGGTTGCTCCCTAAACCGTCGCCGCGATTCGCTTAACGACGGCAAGGGAGGGTTAAAACGGAGCAAAACTCACCGAGCGAATGTCTCGCTTAGCGACGTGAATTTGGGGGGGCTCAATTGGGGAAGTCGTAACCCGAGGACTTGCCTGTACGGAGCGGGAAGTTGCCCGACATTTTGAGAATCGGGGCCCATATGGTTTTGTGACCCGCAAAGTGTGGGACCGCAAGAGTGGAAGGGACGATTGGAAAGGAGGCGGGGGAGAGGATCAGATGGGTCAGCCTCAAGGGCGGTGAGGAAGGGGGCGGGCTTTTCTTAAGCCCCTCCCCCTCCAATTCCTGCTGGTGTCTTCTGGGGGAGGCGAGTTGGTGGCTATCGCCAAGCGAGACGGCCTCTCCGTCGGCTGATTGATGTTTCTCTTTTTATCCAGACGATTCTCCCGGGTGTTGTGCCGTGCCACGTTGTCTGGAAATGGCTGGAAACATCCAAGGTAAAGTCTTGGCCCCTGGGAGGGGGCATGGGGTGAGGTGAGGTGGGGGTGGGAGCTGCTGTCTTGGGTGGAGGGACAGGCTACGATGCCCGTCTGCTTGTCAAGGGCCGGGGAAATCAGGAGACTCCAGCAGTTCAAGTGAGTGATCAAGATGTATTGCAAGCTTCGGTTCGCTACAAGAACCTGACCTACTAATGGATCACGGGAAATGACCGGGCGATAAGAAAGGCACTCAAAATGGGCTGAACTT